CCACAAAAATGATATACCAAAGTGGGAGGATATGGACAAGTTCCTATCCAACAGATTTCAAACGCTGGAGACTTTATCAGGCTTAAAAAATTCCAAAGCTGTGAGAGCGCCAAAGCCACAGACACACAAACCAGCAGAAGCCTCCCCAAAACGACTTGGCGTTTTCCAAGCAAGCGTGACCAAGTTCACTTGCATAATGTGCCAGTCCAATGAGCACAAGTTACGCAGCTGTTCCCGCTTCTTAAAGATGACACCATCTGAAAGAATAGAGTTCATGAAAAACAATAACTCTTGCTTGAACTGTCTTAAGTCTGGACATACTGTGTCAAGATGCACATGCTCGTTTAATTGCAGCAAGTGCCACTCCCGACACCACACGCTCCTGCACCTGGAGACTGACCAGCAAAAGCCTACAGCGCACCAAATGCCGCCAAGCTCAACTGGTAATCGAGCATCTACGTCGAAGCAAGCACAAACAAGACGCAAGACAGGAAAACCAAATTCAACTGGGGACAAAAATGTCAAGTCTTGTTTTGCAAATTCAAATACTGGTGTGCTCCTAGGAACAGCGCACGTAAATATACATTATAATGGAACCGATTTTTCTGCAAGAGCTCTTATTGATTCCGGGTCTGAGTGTTCCTTTATAACGGAAAGACTCAAACGCCGAATCAACCTGCCATCCAAAAGGTTGCATGCCCAAGTTTCCGGCATCACAAATTCCATATCGGCGCAGGTCAAAGAAGCATGCAATATAGAAATACGGTCACCGATTGATCCATTATTCCGGTCGAAAACCACTGTGCTTGTCTTAGCACAACTAACTGGAAATCTTCCAACTACCCATATTAGCGCTGAAACTAAACAAGCATTCCCAGATTTGGTTTTGGCCGATAAAAGGTTCTTTGTTAATGAGCAAGTGGACCTTGTGCTTGGAGGAGATATTTATCCAGAAATCATTTTGAGCGGCTTGAAGAAAAATGTACTTAATACTCTTCTAGCCCAAGAAACCGTGTTCGGTTGGATATTAACCGGCCGCCCAGATGCAACAAGTGCAACCAACCATATTGCTTCATACTTTAGCGAAGTCGCCTTGGATAAGCAGCTTACTGCGTTCTGGGAAGTAGAGGATCTGCCGAAAAGCAAAAGCCTAAGTGAGGAAGACAAGTACTGTGAGGAGTTGTACAAGAATACAACTCAACGTACCCAAGACGGGAAATATGTAGTTTCGCTACCATTCAGGCAGGATTTTCCAGAGAATGTCTGCCTAGGACCCTCCCTAAAAAGAGCGTGCTCACAATTTTTCCGACACGAGACGCGATTGGCCAAGGATCCTGGACTACAAAAGGAATATAACAGGGTATTATCGGAATACGAATCGTTAGGGCATATGTCAAAGCTAATAAATAATATACCAGCAGAGTCCTCCGACAACTATTTCCTGCCTCATCACGCGGTCATCAAGGCAGAAAGCACGTCAACAAAACTTCGCGTGGTTTTTTAATGCCTCAAGTCCGACGGCAAATGGTGTAAGCCTCAATGATGTACTGCTCCCAGGACCAGTACTCCAGGCGGATCTTCCCATATTAATCCTACGTTGGAGATTATATAAATACGTCTTCAACAGCGACATCGAGAAGATGTACCGGCAAATTATGGTGCATGACAATCACACTAAGTTCCAGCGCATAGTTTTTCGTACCAATACGAACGAACCGATCAGTCTTTACGAGCTGAAGACGGTCACTTTCGGGGTTAACTGTGCTCCTTACTTGGCAATAAGGACACTTTTACAACTAGCTGATGATGTGGAAAACTCCTCTCCGATAGCATCCAATATTTTACGAAGATGCATGTACGTCGACGACGTTCTAGCGGAAGGACACAGCATTGACTCTGCGATAAATGCCAGAGATGAAATAACCCAAGTGTTAGAGTCAGCCGGTTTTCCATTAAGAAAATGGACTGCCAATTGCGAAGATTTACTGAAAGACATTCCAAAAATGAATCTACTAACCGAAGATTTTCTTGAATTCGAAGAAACTAGCGCAGTGAAGGCTCTCGGCATAAGATGGAACGCCCATACGGATTTATTCTATTTTATGGCGAGACCATTAGAAGAAAGCGATAATCCAACGAAAAGGGCGATATTATCAGCTATCGCCAAACTTTTCGACCCCCTGGGGTGGCTCGCGCCCATCATAATCGTAGCCAAAATACTAATGCAGGGTATTTGGCTGGAAGGCACGGACTGGGATGAAACCGTAACTCCAACTACCCTGGATCGCTGGAAAAATTTTACACAACATTACAATGAGATCGATAACATACGAATACCTCGATGGGTACATTTCTCACCAACAGATGACGTCGAAGTACATGGCTTCTGTGACGCATCGGAAAAAGCGTATGCGGCTGCTGTATATCTGCGCGTTACACAAAATGCAAAAGTTTTCGTAAGTCTACTTTTGGCAAAAACAAAAGTAGCCCCAGTAAAGACTATCTCATTACCTCGATTGGAACTTTGCGGCGCCGTACTGCTTGCAGAAATCATCGAGACGGTTCTGAGAAATCTTGACTTGGGACATTTAAAAGCACACCTGTGGACGGACTCAACAATCGTTCTCGCGTGGATACGAAAGCCGCCTTGTTCGTGGTCGACCTTTGTCGCCCACAGGATAACAAAAATAGTAGAAAAAGTTGGTAATAAGAACTGGCTGAATGTGGATTCGGCATCAAATCCAGCAGATTTAGCCAGCCGAGGACTGCCTGCTTACGAATTGGTTGACAATCCCTTGTGGTGGCAGGGACCTTCTTGGTTACAAGAAGACCAAACTAAATGGCCTGTACAAGAGGCAAACTACAACACAATAGTCGAGGAAAAGAGGGTGCATGTGCACGCAGCAACTAAAATACATAATGCAACTAATATTTTAGATAGATTTTCAGGATTGCCTAGGGCTTTGAGAGTTTTATCATATATTATAAGATTTTTTCAAAGAACCCATCCAAAAACAAGAGCTTCGTTTCGAGCCGAGACTTCTTTAATTTCCGCTGATGAAATTAAAACAACGACTCAACGCTTGATAAAAATCTGTCAAAAGCAACATTACTTTGAGGAGTATAGTAAATTGAAATCCGGGGAATCCATCGATGCGAAGAGTGAAGTTTTGCCCCTTAATCCATTTCTCGATAGAGATGATATCATGAGGATGGGTGGTCGCCTCGGCGCGTCTCAAGATCTGGCCTATAATGAGCGCCATCCAATTATCCTTCCATACGATTGTAGATTTTCTCGCCTTCTTGTCCAGTATGTCCATGAGATTTCTCTGCATGGGGAAAACCAACTAATGTTGCGTCTCATTAGGACGCAATATTGGATTCCCCGAGTCAAAAACATGATCAGGTCCGTCATCCACAACTGCAAAGTCTGCACTATCCATAAGAAACGGTCACAAACCCAACTTATGGGTAACCTACCGAAAGAACGCACAACATTCTCGCGTGCGTTTACAAACACAGGTGTCGATTTTACCGGGCCCTTTGAGATTAAGAGCTATCGCGGCCGCGGTTGCCGCATTTCCAAAGGCTACGTTTGCCTTTTCGTTTGTTTTACGACTACGGCAATTCACCTGGAAGCGACAAGCGATCTCAGCACCCCATCCTTTCTGGCAGCATTCGCTAGGTTTGTTGGTAGAAGAGGATGTCCGAAAAACATGTACTCCGACAACGGCACCAATTTTGTCGGAGCTTCTCGATCATTACGATCTGAAATGAAGGCGTTCATAGCAGAAGCGCGTGATAAAACCATATCGAAATATAGTCATCAAACACTTACATGGCATTTTATACCCCCAGCAGCTCCTCACATGGGCGGACTGTGGGAGGCGGGTGTAAAAAGTTTCAAAAACCACTTCAAAAAGATTGCATCCACCCACAAATACACCTTTGAGGAGCTCAGTACCTTATTATGCCGAGTTGAGTCTTGTCTCAACTCGCGACCGTTAAGTCCCTCATCGAACGAGCCAACTGACTTGGAGCCTCTAACTCCCGGTCATTTCCTCACAGGCGGTCATTTACTCGCGCCACCGGAATTAGATGTAAATGAAAACCCAGCCTCCATAATAAATAGGTGGCAGAAATTAAAGGCTTTACATCAAACCTTTTGCAGGCGATGGAAGTCAGAATACCTATCCGAACTACAGAAGCGAATTAAGTGGAAAAATCCAAAGCAGAATATGGAGATTGGTGATCTCGTCGTTATAAGAGAGGACAATTTAGCGCCTAACGAATGGAGATTAGGCAGAGTAATCAACCTGCACCCCGGTTCCGACAACCGAGTGCGTGTGGTGGACATCACCACCGAGAAGGGTCAGGTAACACGACCGCTGGCAAAACTTATCCTACTGCCACCGTACAACGAGAGAATTGAGAAGCCACCGAATGCTTCTTGATTCTACCCCTTATATGATTACCTAACCCTCTCAACGAGACACCAACTACATCAATATTCCACTCCGTCAGTACCCATACAAATTCCACTTCTATACCTCATGAGAGATTCCATTGAAAATGTGAAAAAGTGTCATTGTCGGGTTTAAAATTATCGGTAAAAAATTGACGCCAGTCATATGAAATTTATATGAAATTCATATGTAATAATTGCATTTGCGCTTTATTTTAGTTTTGAGAAACATTAAAAATAAAAGTAAAAAGGTAACGAAATGCGCGAAACTACCATATAAATAAATTCACTAAGCTCGCCGACGCGGCTATTTAGTTTTTTTTCGCTACTGTGGCGACAATTTTGTCAGAGTGACAATTGCCAGCCCATTGCCGACAATATTTCAATATATACTGTCGAAAAAATTTTCACAATTGCCTACAAGCGTATTTGAAATATAAAAAAAAGGGGCAACAACAAAAACACAACACCACCCTATATCAACTCGCCTGGGTTTCTAACAACTTATTCAATAAATCATATGAAAATCTTTTCATCACTCACCTACACATAGCAGAGACCCTCGAAGTCTGACCATTAGATAAAAAATCTCGTTGCAACCCGTATATGTCAACTGCCGTTTCCATTTAGACAGAAGGTTCGGTTCCTAGATCGAGTTTACAGAAATTATTAACACATGGTATCACGTTAAATTTACCACTCACCTGCGGATTAAGGTGTGATGCTAAGTCCTCACCTGGGCAAAGGTACATAGGTATGTACTCCTGCAGTTTATCTTTGCGTGCGAAAGTACTTGGACAAAGACTACATTGGAATGGCTTTGAGTTTGTATGTGTACGAATGTGTCGCATCAGATCTGTCGCGCTTGAAACGGATCGTGGGCAACGCGTACAAACATGTGGTTTTACGCTGCTATGAATTCGTATGTGTTTTGTTAAATTGGTATTACGAGAAAAGTTTTTTTTTTCAAATCCGAACGCCGGCAGAAGCCCTTTTTTTGCAGAATGCACATACATATGGCCGCTCAGGATCATGTAGTTCCTTGATATGGTATATTAAATTCTGACGACTTGATGTGCGCTGCAGACATAGGGTGCGGCACTGTCGTGTTGTGGTTCATGCTCTTGGCAGTGGTTGCGTTGTAAATGCCATATCACAATACTGGCAAAGGAAGGTGTTTTTAATCACAATTTCTCCGGCAATAAATGAGTCGCTACCAAGCATGTTGGGAAAAGCAGTTGGTGCTTCGGACGCAGGCATAGAGTTGTCGGTGTTTTGCTGTTCCTCTGTGGTCATAGGAACTGTTGCCGATAGCGAATCGTTTGGTTCATTTGTCGGTTGCTGCGATAATTGATGCGTGTCATTTGTAGAAGTTTGCATTTGCAAGGCGTGTGGTGATGAAGCCGAATGCTCTTCGCCCTCCGAATCCGATTCCATAAAAAAATCATCCTCTGAACTTTCGTAATCTTGATTGGGGTTCACTTCAGTTATTATGCAATTATCTTCAGGCTCAAATGTGCCTGGGTTGCCATTAAGACTCGGACGTTGATCCACGCAATCTGCCGTTCTTCTATTTTGGCGTTCCACCCAACTCTGCAACTCAGTCTCAATTCTTTGCACATTTTCGCGAAAAGCGGAAAACGCCTCAACCATTGCAAAACAGCGCTGGCAGATGTTACTAGGCAACAACGTTGATTGCTGAAACTTAACACCTAACAAGTCATACAGCCATTCCACCATTGGCATTCTTTTCTCTGCTCCAACGGTTGGTGGCGTTTTTTGTGCTGACTGTGGAGACTCCTGCTCAAAGATATTCACAATTGATTTGTCATGACGCAAACATAGGCGACATAGTTCAGTGCCGTCATCCATTGCTGAAGATTTTTTTAACATGTTGCATTTCCGCTATGGGAAATAAGAAGTCTTCTTATTTATTTGAATTGTTTCTTTCTTACACTTGCGCAAGTCATAATCATGAGTTCACAAAATCTAACTATAGCATTGACATGCATATCTTACAGTTTCTAAAAATAAAATAAAATACAATTTATTAGCGTACCATGTATGTATAGTATGTATGTATGTACTATGTAAATGCTTTATAAATAACTTAAAGATCCTGGTCCGTGAGCCTCTGCACCACGCATCAGCCGCTCCTAGGAAACCGTATTAAGTGGTGGAAAAGGATTCTGCTTGGACACCACCAACTTGTTGTGACTGTATGAGATGTAGCCCTTGATTTTACCCTCAAAAATCAAATTAACCACTATGCAATGCGTTTCATCGATGCTCACATCTGTTTCGCCGACAAATTGCAATGCCGCTTGAAATGCCCGCAAATCTAATTGATGCGTCTGTTTGATTATGTACACACGCTTGAAGAGATTGCGATAGACAATGAATTTCAATTTTTCAACCAACAAATAAATGCCGCATTTGATGAAGAATATCTCATGACGTTGTATAGCTTCGTCGAATTTGCGAACATGGCCCTCTTTTAGAGCGACAGCAAGTTCATGAAACTGTAGTAGGTCAAAACGTTCGAGGTTGTCCTTCTTATGTTCAAAGGCGAATTAAATATTACAGTACGTACCGCATCGCGTTACGATGATTGCCGTCTATTACACTTTCCTAACTTGAAATTGACCTTTAAGCTGAATTGGGTTTGTTTGGCGAATCCAAACGATCATCACGCGGTTATGCCTTGTGCGCCGGACTAGCTGCCAGAATATTCCAGCAACCAGGTTCATGATTCCTTCCGTGCATTTCGTTCACTTAACTTGAATATTTGGATTTCTTTTGAAACAAAACCGAAACCTGGCGAGGAGGTGGAAATCGACATTCCCAGCTTGCTTAAGCTGATTCTATCAGGCGTTACCCGTCCAACCCGACGCGGGCCGGTATTTAGTAATGTGCGCCCTCGAAAAAAGCAACTCAGTCGACATTACAAAAAAGCAAACTTGCAAATGAGTTTGCATCGTTTCCAAGTACTATGCTGGATGTCTCATGCCCTGCACAAGGGTTTCCAATTGAACGGTGGGCGTGTTTCTTTTAGCTCGGAATATTGTTTATCGTTAAATCCCATTGACGATGGACTTATTCATAGACCGCGTGCTGATTGGTCCACTGTGTATATGAATTGCGAATTAAACGATGCTGAAATTTGGTTGAAGAGTATACTTACTGAGAAACTATTATCTGCGGCACATACACGGAAACAGCTCATTAAGCAGTCTGCGGCCTTCTCAAGAATTTCCCCCGGCTTGCTGCTGCTGCCAAGTTCTTCGCATTTTTGCGCTAATATTCGCAAATCCAAGCAGGTTGGGTACATTATGGGAAGACACCAGTTCTCCTCCTTCAACTGTTGCAACATTTTCACAACAGATTGTATGCATTGTGATTGTTGGCGATAAGCTTGCATAAAATCGCGAGTTTCCAAGCCCAAGTAATAGAGTACTTTCGGATGCGCACAAACAATCTCATCAATGGGCGGATCCAGCATACGTTCCACGGCATTCTCTGGACACTCCACATATAAATTACGATTCATTATATGCTTGTCTTTGAGTGAAATAAAAGATGCCATCGTCTCACCATCCGCCACAGACCAGGCGCGCTGCACGCCGCTCAAGGAATTTTGCAAAATTTGGCTGCAAATTTTATTAAGAATTTGACATTTTGCAAATGAAATGATAAGAAATAAAAGTCATACTCACCCATTTACTGGTTTACTCCATGTGGCCATCGATTGAATGATTTTTTTTTTCATTCAGGAAATCGTAATGTGAGCCGCGGAGTAGAAATGTCAACTTAAGTCTCCGCATAAAGCCGCTACTCCATAACTTCCAGCGGCGCCATCTATTTCTCGTTTGTGGAGAAATAATTTTTTTTCACATGCTTGTAATGAAATCATTCATAAAAATAAATTTCATTAATTGCCACTTGTAGACAGAAGTAACCACGCTTAAATAAATGCCACCAGGTGCACGTAGTAGGTCGGTTAAATTATCGCACTTTGTCGTCAGCCATTAAGAAGGCTATCGTTGCAAATATTTTTCGTCTCTTTTTTGCCGTGTCGTATTCAGATACGTATGCACTAATTTTGCCTCTAGATACTCTACTTTCTTTTGCGCAAAACAAATTGGCTGGTACATAAGCATTTTACCAAAAATTTTATATTACACTTGCAAATTTTTGGGATAGGAGCTACCCTGTTTTTTGGCAATGGTAACATACAGTGGCACCTAAACTTTTTTTTTCGGCCCCCAGGCTGCTGGGTGTCGATCTTGGCTAAACAAAAGTCTCCAAAGTACAAAGAAAGTTTTGTTTTACATTGGCAGAATTTAAGCCATCAATTTGAAGAACAAAAACAAATTTCTTGCGAATGCCCTCAGTTTGACACTTTCTCATGTTGCCTTTGAAATTTGTTAGAATTGTCATAATGTCAGGGCGACATTTATTTTTTTTTTGTCTTCCGGTACAACCCTGCATAGGAAAATATATAGCACCGGTGTGACCCATCAACCACAATACATGGGTAATTCTGCGTTTACACGTGCCAGTTTCCAATTTCGATATGCCCAAGAACGCCCTGCTTAGATCGTAAAATTTAAGATTTGCAAAAGGAAAACGAAACTTTCTCGCCGATCCGTTTTACTTTTATATATTTAATCGCTCGCTACCCAACAACAACGTACAAAAAAAAAAAAATATAACTTAACTGAGGCACCTAAATAAAAAAAAAGCGTATTTCAGACAACCATGACCCGCTTCAGTGCAGTAAAGCGAAACGCCGCAAAGAATGCCCATCGCTTCGTCGTGCCGTGCCACTTATGTGACGCAAATCACCCAATTAGGCTATGCCCGGTTTTTCGCGCGAAAACACCTGAAGAAAGGTTAAGAGAAGCGCTACTTGGTCGATACTGTGGAAATTGTTTAGCCACAGATCACGCAACCGAACGATGTGCCAGCGAAGGACGATGCCGTCGATGCGGTGAGAAGCACCACACTACGCTTCACCTCGGTGAAGCTCGACGACCCGCAGACGAAGCACAAAAGCCTTGGAGCGTCCAAGTCGAAGAAGAAGAGCGCAATAGCTATGAGGCGGCGATCTCGCTATACGCGTCTGATTCTGGAACGGAGACCAGGCCTCTCCGTCCAGATATTGAAGAGGGCGAGATTATAGAGTTCGGAGTGGAGACTCGGCCTCTCCACCTGACTACTGCAAGGGTACCGGAAACTAGGTCTTTCCGACCTTTACTCCAACACGAGCGCGATCATCAACGACCGCATAAGCGCCAACGACCGCACAAGCGACAGCGACCACACCAACGACAGCGAACGCATCAGCGACGCCACCGAGACTGCAGAGCGGAAACTCGGTCTTTTCGCCT